ATTATTAGCTATGGCTACCTTTTTCAGAGTTCTTGTTCTTATCCTCCTCTTTTCAGGTTCGTTCTTGTAATACAATATTTTTTTGTCAGAAAAAAAACTTCTCACTCGAATTTTTCTATTGGTAAAAGATTAGGTTTATGTACGATATTCAGACTAGGTGGGCGCCTAGGTGCTAGGCGGCATTTTCGGGCGCCCCGAGTTTCATCCCAGTGGACCTTCAAGGCGCTTGGATAGTTAACCACCGCCTAGACTGACTAGGCGACGCGTAGGCGGTCTAGGCTGTTGGGAAGTCAGTCACGCTTGTACCGCTTAGGCAGTCCATGCGTTGCCAAAGCGGCTGCATATACCGCGCTTTTTTTATATATTTTATCTAGTATTTATTCAAAATGTATCAACATTTTTATTTATTACATAAAATTTACAATAATTATAAAATAAAAAATAATAATTATTTAAATTTATATATTAATTGTAAGTATATATATTTTAGCTGTATATACCATACGATAGTAATTGTTTCAAACATATTGTATGTAGAAACTCAATCAAATCATGATCTCTATTTAATTTTACCCACCCACCCTGTCTCCAATATTCCATCCAGATTCATTGATGACCGGCACCCGCAGCTTCAGGATTGGAATCAACTACGGGCATGTGGCGGACAACCTCCCGAGCCCATCACGTGTGGCTTCCTTCATCGTCTCCCTCAACATAACTCGTGTGAGAATCTACGACGCCGACCCGGAAGTCCTCTCGGCATTCGCCAACACAGGCGTTGAACTAACAATCGGGCTCGAAAACAAGTACATTGTGAACTTTACCGACCCGGCCCAAGCCAAGAATTGGGTCCAACAGAACGTGGCCCCCTACACCAACCAAACCAATATCAAGATGATAATAGTCGGCAACGAGGTCCTCACTGGTGAGGACGTCAATATGATGCTCTGCCTTCTGCCCGCCTTAAAAAATGTCCACAAAGCCCTCACGGACCTTGGCCTGAGCCAGCAAATCTACGTGACCACTGCACACTCGTACGGGATCATGGGTGTTTCATTTCCCCCCTCGTTGGGCATGTTCAAGCACGCGCTCGTGGGCTTCCTCTTGGACATATTGGCCTTCCTCTCCGAAAAGGAGGCCCCGTTTCTGATGAACGTGAACCCTTACTTCGCATACAAGAACGACCCGAACCACGTGCCGTTGGAGTACGTGCTTTTCGAGCCCAACCCGGGGCAGACAGATCCCATCACCAAGTTGCATTACGACAACATGTTGTACGCACAGATGGACGCTGTTTACACGGCCCTCAAACTTTTGTACGCACAGATGGGCTCGGCCCTCAATGCTACAGACTTCCATAGACCATCTTTCCAATCGAGCGAGATCGGATGGTCACGTTGGAGAATTCCAACTAAACCTAGACCACCACCAAGTAAGAATGGCACGGTAGGGAGAATAATACCACCACCAAATGGAACGTTTGAAGACCAGACGGAGAACGCGAGGTTGTTCAATAGGAATCTGCTGAAACTGGTGGAGGAAGGGCATGGGACTCCCCTCAATCCTTCGGTGCCTATCGACGCTTACATCTTTGCACTCTTTGACGAGGACCTGAAGCCCGGCCCAGAGACCGAGAGGCATTTTGGTCTCTTCTATCCAAATATGACGCCTGCATATGATATCGGGTTGCAAGGTGGTGCTGCTGCTGCTATTCAGCGTGTGGATTACACGGCATCCGGGATTGATAATAGTATTGTGGGTGGCTTGTTTGGGTTTTACGTAGCTTTCATCTCTTTTCTGCTCCTACTTGTTTAATGTTCCCCCACACCACATACCATCTCACTCTCGAATAATAATAATAATAATAATAATAATAATAATAATAATAATAATAATAATAATAATAATGTAAATAGTTTAAGCTGGTTGTTAAAAAAATAAAAATGTTAGGTTTAATGCACAATAAAAAGTCAATTTATATACAATTAAGCCCCCGAAGTGATCATGTGCTTTGATGGGACCTTGTTTGCCTAATTAGTTATATAATTTCGTTTTGTGTTCGGCTCTTTTTTTTTTTATTAAACAACACCTAGAGGATTTTGGGTGTTGGCGGAGAGCATGGAGGGATCACCATGGATTTTTGGATCTTAGATTTCTCTCAGGTTGTGGCAGACTGTGAGTTAATTGACGTTGGGTACAAAGGTTCTCCATTCACGTGGGAGAGGGCCGGAGTCAAGGAGAGGCTCGACCGTGCCTTGACCTCTGTGGCATGGACGAGGGTGTTTGCTGTCACGACAGTCACACACCTCCCTCGAATTGAATCTGACCACACTCCCCTTCTAATCCGGTGTCAGTTTTTTAGCACCTCACGTCGCTCCTCCTTTTGGTTCCAGAACATGTGGATCTGCCACCACACGTTCCATGACACGGTTATGGCTTCTTGGAAACATTCAACGGGGCTTTTTGGGATGCACAACCTAGAGTGAAGCTTGGTAGACTGAGGCGCAGTTTGAAGCAGTGGAATTGGATAGTTTTTGGAGACATCTCTCAGTGCCTTGTTGCAGCTCAGAGTGCGTATGCGGGTATTGAGCGAGCTTATGATCTGGACTCGTCTCCAGAGAATAGGACCGCGACGCGCCGTTGTCATGTTGAGTACCAACTTCGCTTCCTTATGGAGGAGGATTTGTGGAAGCAAAAGGCTGTTGTGCGCTGGGTTGCTGAGGGGGAACGTAATACCAAGTATTCAGGGGTTTGTAAAGCAGAAGCATGTTAAGTCGTACATCCACTGTATCGAGGGAAACGGGTCTTCCTGACTCAGGAGTCCCAGATACAATCTATCTTGTCAGCGGCGATGTCCAGTGTTTTTCGACTTATTGTCCAGTGATGAATGATGGATTGTTCTTGGATGCATTTTTCGAATAACTTGTCAGGATTTTGGTTTTATGAAAGTTTACATAAAAAAAAAAAAAAAAAAAAAAAAAAAAAAAAAAATAGTGCGGTCCAAGGGTATCCCAATCAAGTGTCCAGCGTGCAAGCGACCGACCTCTGCACGCCTCCTGCCCGTGTTTCCTCTAGTCTCATAGAACTCTGCAGTAGCTAACATTTTCTGCAACCTTGTCCATCTATCTACAATCTATCTTAATATTTCCGTAAAATTTGAATGTAAAATTTGGAGATTGATATAGGAAAGTGTACGAGTGAGACGATACTAATGAGACCGCAGTCTCAAAAACACTCAAACACGATATCAAATCATATCAAATCATATTATTATTATTATTATTATTATTATTATTATTATTATTATTATTATTATTATTATTATTATTATTATTATTATTATTATTATTATTATTATTATTATTA